AATGACGAATTTAATAATGTTGCACAAACTGCAAGCTTTGCAAAAAATAATAATGCTAGTATATAGAACATCGACTGAGCCCAGGGATTTTAGAAACATTTACAGGATGACAAGCTTGTCTTCATACAACAGTAAAGGCACACTTAGTCCCTCTGGGTTGTCAGAGCTACAATTTCAAGATTTGTACTGTTAATTTGATTAAGAGTTTTCACTTTTTGTGTTGAAATACAAACATTCTAACCCAATTTCGTGAAGTACCTTTTAATTTCCCATGTTTATTTTATGAAGAATAGATGAGCAGTAGATAAGGGGAGGTGTGTGGCACAGTGGACTAATGCGTTGGTCTTCGGATCAGGGGAGTACATGTTCAAACCCCACTGCAGTCAGCATGTCGTTGTGTCCCTGAGACACTTCACCCCAAATTGCTCCTGTGGGGATTGCCCACAGTGTTGAGTATGTAAGTTGCTTTGGATAAAAGCGTCTAACAAGTGACATGTAATGTTGATGTCCTTTTCTTACTTTTTCCCGTCTTGGGTTATTGAGTTTATCCGGAGATGTTGAGCACCGGAGGAGAAGTGGATAAGAGCAGGTGTACCACATCACATCCATCATCCCCTGCTCCTCCTAATACACATGCATTATTTAGGAGGAACAAAAAAGAAAGAAGGAAGTGAAAGGACAGAGTAGTCTACCTTTAATGTAAGAATGCCTTTTGGATAAAAGCATCTAACAAGTAACATGTCATGTAATAAGGGGCTGGGCTGAGTATTGGGACTTTTCACAGTGGGGGAAAGTCATATTTTTGGATATCTATTTGGCATAATGGTTATTTGTAAATGGAACAAAATAGGATTTTGGCAAGTGCTACGACATTCCACCTCAAGCCGGTAATTTCTGTTGTCCTGTAAGCCATCTGTGAATGCCTCACTAAACAACTGCTGCCTGTACAGTATGCCTGCTGCTGTTTTTAACTATCTGCTGGGTCGTTTTAATTCTACATACCTCAAACATGCAATTTGCTTATATTATCTAGTTTTAAGAGGACATATTATGCTCATTTTCAGGTTCATATTTGTATGTTGTGCCTCTACTGTGACAGGTTTACTGGCTTTAATGTTCAAAAAGGTCTTTATTTTTCTCATACTGCCTCTGCTGCAGCACCTCTTTTCACCCTCTGTCTGAAACCAGAGCCCAGTCTGCTCTGATTGGTTAGCTGGCCGGCTCTGTTGTGATTGGTCAACCGCTTAGAGATGTCCCGCCACTATATAAGCCTTTTACGTACAATTTGTTGGAGCGCTAGACAATAGAATTGCGAGTGTTACAGAGTGATGTCATTATGTTCCAGAAGTAAACAAAGGAGTCCTATGGAGGATATTAGCATTGCAGACCATTTACATGCACAATAACCTCTAGAACAAACTACACCCAAAAAAGAATAGGGCCCCTTTAAGATAATATATACTTAGCAGATCTTTAGATATTTCCATCTGGAACAAAGCGGTGGACTGACCCACAGACTGAAAGGTCATTGTCGAGCATAAGTAGTAAAAACCTCTGAAGTAAAAAGACTCTTAATAAGTGCTCGATGTTCATGTGATTATAACTCTGCTTTCCCTCTGCATTATCCCCTGCAGCGATGGTGCTCAGTTGCTAGTGTCAGTTCCCAAAGTTTTTGCTTTTGATGATGCTGCAGGGTGCAGAGTACATATGGTGGATGTTTTCTTGCCAATCCCATCTATTAACAGCTGTCAGATGTTCAATTACTAAACTCCTCCCCTGACAGATGGGTTGTTCTATAAGTTATCTCTGAGGGGTAGTATAAGCCAAATCACATCAAAACGTGAAAAAAAAAACACAGAGCATAGAAACTCTTCCTCGTTATGTCTTTGTAAATTAAACTGAAAATGTGTTTCTCTTCCTCTAATATCAAATAGCAGTTTTTACTGATAGGCCTGCTTTTAATATGAGCAATACATAGGGAATTAAACTTACCATTACCTGACTATAAAATAATTATGTGTATTTCAGTAAGCTCCAGGGACTGTACAACCTCCTGATGTGAAATAAATAGTCTTTCTAGACATGCTGTAAAGGTTCTACTTAAAAATGCTTTCAAAAAATCTTGCTGTGATCATCTTACCTCGGATTCCTCAGTTCAATTCATTCCTACTCTGAATTTCAATTTGTGAACGTGTCATATGTCAACACAGTCAGCTCGTTTTCTACCGTCCGAGTGATTTCAAATTGGCAACTGCATGCCAGGAGAAAATGAGCTGCGCCATTCAAGACCTGAACAACAGAATTATCCCCAGCTGAGTGCTCCTATCAGCGCCTTCTGCCAAGTTTCAGAGTACAAAGACAGCGGGGAAATGAGTTGTTCTGCTTTTACTTTCTTCAGACCATATAGTTTTTTAAATGTCCTGCTGATGCGTGAAGCCTCTGCACTGCCTGCGGATTATCAATATACTGTTAACTTGACTCAGGTTTCAGGAAGATGTGAATCGATGCCTGTCTCTCTTGCTTTATTGGCTGTAAAGATAAAATGAGGAGAGTCTGGTTTATTGAAAAGTAGGTTTTCACATACAGAAATATGCTTTGGTGTAATGGTGCATAATTCAACATTAATATACAAGAGAGGAAAATACATTGAAAATATTTTAATTTCAAAAGGAACTAGGCAGGAATGTGCAAACATATACAGGGATGTTCAGTTTTGTAGATTAAAGCAATCAATCAATCAATGTTTATTTATATAGCCCAATATCACAAATGTCGCATTTGCCTCAGTGGACTTCACAGTCTGTACAGAATATCAGTATGACAACACGACACCCTCTGTCCTTAGACCCTCACATCGTACAAGGAAACACTTCCAGAGAAAAACCCCACAGTTTAAAGGAGAAATGGGAGAAACCTCAGGGAGAGCAACAGAGGAGGGATCCCTCTCCCAGGACGGACAGACGTGCAATAGATGCCGTGTGTAAATCGAAAAGATAATACATTTCCAGCATAGGTAGACCAAATGTTTGGAAATGCATGTGTCTATAATAATAAGATGAATCCACGAGGATGTCAACAATCCTGTGGGAGCCATCAGGGAAATAGTATGATGAGAGTCAGGCACAGTGATAGGTTCAGCCACAACTCGAAGTCCAAGACTCCGGATCCAGGACTCAGGATGCAGGATCCAGGACACACGACCGCAGCAACAGGATCAGCCACGACTCAGGATCCCGGCGTAGACACTAAAAAGAAATTTGGGGGAAGCTGAGTTATTCGGAACATGAGAGGTACAGACAGACAGAAGGAAGAAGTAAGGTGTCCCCCGACAGTCTAAGCCTACAGCAGCAAAACTAACGTGTCTATGTACATGGACTCCCTTAGGATAGGTTGAGGGAAAGGGGTAGCAAGTAAGAAGTAAGGAACAGAGGTGGAGAGGCACAACGTGTCTATGTACATGCACTCCCTTAGGGTGAGGGAAAAGAGTGGGAACTAAGATGTATGCGCCACATCTATACCATGAGCGCATTGCTCCTAAAAAGTGTTTCTGGCACTGACACCAATCAACAGTTGTGCGTCGACTCGGCAGGGATCAAGGCACATGTATTCCTCTTCCTGCTTCCACCGTCTACACACACAACCAAATTACATCGATACCATCAGTGAGGGAAAAGAGTAAGAACTAAGATGTAGTATGGGTGAAGAGGCACAACGTGAGCAATGTTTGTACGTCATGTCAATCTCACACACAGGACATCGCAGGGATATGCATTTGTTTGTGTTGCTCAAGTCACCACTAATGCATCAATAGTCAATTGGGAATATCACTGGTAGAACATTTACACAGTCTGTTGTCTGTCTTTGGATATATGTATTTAATATTTAAGAGATTATATAGACTAGTCCATAATTAAACCGCGGAGAAGCATCAATGCAGCACCTGAGAACATTTAATTTAATTTAATCGTTTATTTGAATAGGGACAATGCACATTAATTAACACTTAAGACAAATAATTCTTCAAGTGTAAATATGCCGGATTTGAGCTTTGAGCTAATTTCCATCCGTAGTCCCTCCCTCACATAGCCTACAACATAAGAACATGACATTTCTAAACATAGCAAAAAATAAATACATGATATGCAAAAAGAGCAAGAGCAGCATACACAAGTATTTACCACATGGCAGTACAATATAGCAACAACGACATATAAAGTGCAAGAGATGATACAAGAGCTACATAAAGTGCGAGAGGAGATACCCAGTTAAAGTGCATTTAGCGGTCATTGCACGTCTGTTTGTTTCTCAACCATTCTTTGAGTTGACCTTTAAAGCTATTGAGAGTGGGACAATCCCGTATCTGAGTTGGGAGGCTATTCCAGTTAAGTAAGTTGGAAATATATATTTCTTTCATAAACTTCATCCAAAACTTGACATAACACATGAACACAAATTATGATATGCAGGACTTGCTGTTCATGAACAGTTTTGTAACCTGTGTAGGGGGAAACATGAACATTACTAGAAGAACTTGTTGTTGAGGTGAAGACCAGCTAGAGTTACTGTCTCATTATTCTAAAATTCAGTTTTTAAAGTCTCTCTGGTAGTCTTTTAAGAAAAAAATACCTGCTGTGTAATGCCATACAGTTCACATGAGCAAATTCAAATACATCTTACTGAGCCAACCACACAGAGAGCTTAAAGCACCAAACAGGCTGCAGTGGTTCAAGTGGGAAAATCAACAAGGTGTTCAACCAGGTTACTTTACTGCCCTGTGGAAAGTTTCGTGTGATTTAATGAATGAGCCATTGTATCATTGCTAAATTAAATGTTTCGGCAACTCGAAAGCCATGATCCCATAAAGGATGATGAAGATTAGGTCTATAGTAAACTATTTATGTTATCTGTAAAATAAAAAGTAGTTTGATAGCTCATAAAACACAACTAAATGACTTTTATTATTGGAGGCAAGTCAAAGGAGCGTCACGCAGTCTCTGCAGGAACAGTCAGGCTCCTAAATCGAGCAGTGAGTAATCGCTCATCTGCTATCCCTCGGCCCAACAGAGGAGCAAAACTCCTTCATGAGGAAATGTCTGCGCACTTAAAATGAGAACCTATTTTATTTTCAAGCCACTCACCTGAAAACAAATGTGAGGCAGGATTCGCTTCTTTTGTTTTTCCAAGCGGCAGCTATGAACGGGAGAAAAAAACGCTGTCAGTTAAGTAGCCTGCTAGCTAGCCGTAGTTAATTGCTAAAGGGGTGCTAACAGCTAACCGTTTATCTTTACTGTGTTATTGTTATTGAGGTAGACGTGTCTTTAAGGTATAGTTTACGTAAGATGTGATGTGTTGTGTGTGGTTAATCGGGGGACACATGTCGCTGATAAACAAGTGTACTAGTAGTTGTGAGTGTTGACAGTGTAGCTTTGCCACCTGGTTCTGTTTGCTACCTGTGTTCAACAGCTAGCCACGTAAACTGCTCCTGCCTGGTGTTGACGTAGCAGCAGCAGCAGCAGCAGCTAGCTTTCCTGTCCTGCTGCCAATCTCACATTGCCCAATTCTTTTATATGAATTAGGATCTCCACCTCGTTTACAATCTCCTTAGCAAACCAAACACACCCCGAACAGCACTAATGACATGAAGAAGTGTGAGTCAAAATGCTTTAGCTGGACTTGATTGTGTTCCTGGTGCTTGTTGCATTGAGCGGATGATGAAGCGGATCATCTGGCTGATATCAGGATTAAACAGACGAATGATGAAGCTGCTTTTTGCCCTCGCTTTGATCGCCTACATTGCCTGTAAGTACTCTGAATGTCTCTAAACTGTTAAACTGTCATAGTTCCTGTGATTTTATGTCACCTGAAAACTTTGAGGAATTTAAGCTGACACAAAACAACACATTGTTTGGTGACCCAGCCTCCTGGAAAAGTGTTAAAGGGTTCAAGCTCAACATACAGAACACAACAGCTGTTTGACAGGAAGGTCTCTCACCTGTTAAACTTTCATCATTCCTGTGTCTTTATTTCACCTGAAAACTTTGAGAATATATTATGTTGTGGGCCGGGGCCAAGTCTCCAGACTATCAAGTGTTGAAGGGCTCAGATTCAGAATGCAGGACACATCCATTGTACACATTACACAAATGATTGTTTATTAGTGTTTCCCCTTAAATGTAACATCTCAGATTCAATGTTATACTGAGAGAAGGACAGTGTTATGTTAGAAATGGAAGGAGAATTAAGCTTTTCAACTAAATGTACATCTATGGGAAGTAACTTCTGTTCTAGTATTCAGTTGTTTCCGCTTATTTGATATGACGTCAATGTTGGCTCTTGGAAGTTTTGTTGCACAGTTCGCACCAAGTTAAATCCATCTAAAAATGTCCCAGACGATTAGTTTAAAAATAATTGACAGATTAATCAATATGAAAAAAGTTGTTCATTGCAGTTTCATTGGTATTTACAAGAAGTAAATTGTTGTTGCAATTCTTGTGATGCAACATCATTTCAGTACTTCCCAGTCAACCTTTACTATTTTTGATTGACTTGAAAACGCCCTATAATTTTGTCTGCTCTGCGTGATGCATTTTGAACAATGTGTCTATTGAACCTTAATGGTATTCTCTTTTTTCAAAAGGCGTAATGGCAACGTTAGTTCCATACATGTTGATTTATATTTATGAAACAACTTGTTTTATTAAATATAGCCACTGTAATGGCAGATATTTTTTAAAGAATCTGAGCTCATCTGTTTCATTTAGTTTCATTTGGTTTTCACATTTGGTTTTCATATTTGGTTTTCATATTTGCTGATTATTTTATCTTGTAACACGTTGTACGGTTGAACTGACATTGAAGGGTCACAATGTGGCTGACAACAAGAAATCAAGATAAGTTGTTTGAGCTTCGCTGCAGTCAACAACGTCTTTGCCAAGACCTCGACAAGTCCAAGTCCAGGCACAGTCAAGTCTGATTTAGAAGCAAATGAAAATAGACTTGAGACAGATCCAAGACTGTCGAAACTGATCCTATCATAAGGCTATTTTGAAATTACAAAAGTTCATAGAAAAGGAAATTAGATTTTCTGCTCATTTGACACAGAAATCAGATTTTGGCTTGATTCGTCTGTGCTCCTAAATCGGATCACTTGCTATGCACCGCTGTGTGAACAGTAATACAGGAATTAGTGTCTTTATCACCTCTCAATCACTATTTCTAACTTGTTAAGACCATATATATATATATATAAAGCTTAAAGGTCACCTATTACGCAAAATCCACTTTTTTATGTCTTTTATACATAAACATGTGTCCCCTCTGTGTAAAGAGATTCTGAAAGTTTCAGGAAAAAACATTTGCTCCCTTTTTGTCCCGATCCATTTATATTAGGGATGCTCCGATCGCCAATTTTGGGGCCGGAACCGGTCGCCGATCCAATCGAGTGGGCGGGGTCTATGGGGATCTTCCATTTAAAGTGATGTTTAAAGCTCAGTTAATCGGGCTCATTCACTGGCGCTTCCACAAACAACAACCAACATAATTATTACATTAAAATAAAGTACATTATTTTAGTTTACATTAATAATAACAAGTGAGAAATGAGCAGGAAGCGCTCTCTTTTCCTCTCTCTCTCTCTATCTCTCCCTCCCTCTCTCTCGCCCTCCCTCTCTCTCTCTCTCTCCTGACAGCCGGTCCCTATCCGTCTCATGCAGCTCACTGATCCAGTAATGAGTAACCCGACAGTGAAGAATAAATATATTTAGATAAAATAGCTGTGTGTAAGGTCTAACTCTTAGTGTGTGTGTTGCTCCACTCACCGGTCCGTCACAGCGGGCGGAGCTGCAGGATTTCTGCTTCACACACGATGCATACCGCTATTTTATTGTCTTTTTCGGACACCTTAAAATACTGCCAGACTGCTGAAGCCATTTTGGCGAGCTTGTTTTGCCGCGCGCAGAGAAAAGTGTCATGTATTTTACGTCATGTGATCGGCTCTCCTGATCGGCCTTTATAGAGGGTACCGATCGATCGGCCAAGAGTGAATATCGCCCGACAACGATCGGCGGCCGATCGATCGGAGCATCCCTAATTTATATACAATCCTGTCTTAAAATGAGCTGATCAGATTTTGAGCACTTTATGATGTCATAACGTTTTTTTGGCTTGTGTGACCATTAGGCAATCACCAACCAAGGTAACCCCCCCCTTATCACCTGAATCTCCTCCTAGAGCACCATTGTGTTCTTTTTAACCAAATATCTCTCAGAGGGGCGTGGGGAGGGGCTCCTTATTTTTCATCTAAAGTAACAGACAGAGAATCAGCACTGTTGAAACAGAGGGGATTATGGGTAATGCTGCAATGATCTGTTTGGTGTTTGGAGCCAAACACTTCAGAGACATGTTTTATATATATCTGAGACCTATAATATATTGATGAAAACAGTATGATAGGGGACCTTTAAGACCACTAGTCAAACTAAGATTTAATGAGCATCTCTGTTAATCCTGTGTTATTGTGCCATTTCCCTGTTGTTATCAGTTATCTCTAATTAAACCTTATCACAACCAACTAGCTTGTAAGACTATGACAGAGTAGGAGACACACCATTTTTAAAACGTTATTGTAATTTATAATTATGTACAATCTAGTGGAATTTATTGGCTGACAGGTAATAAAATATCCAGAACTATGTTTTAATTAGTGTATAATCACACGACACTATTTTGGTTTATGTTTTTTCTAAGAAGGAGATGTTTGAGGCAATATAAAATAGATATTAAGTAGGGAACTATGACCTTTTTAAGCACAGTTTTAAATATTATAATCACTATTAGATAAAATATTCAGATTTAAATACCCGTTCTTTTTGAATTGTCGGTTTTTATGCAAATACATGACAATAAAAAAGTACAAACAGGATAACATTAAGAATATTTGAACGTTTACAGCGTCTTCACTCACTCTATTTTGGGCAGAGTGTGAAGTTTGGTAACGTAGATCACTGTGTTGTTCCTGATTTAGCAGATTACACTCCTGTAAATACCTTCATGTTATAAACACACCGCACATCTGAAATACACATTGTTGTAATATAGTCTACTCAAAATCGGCCTCTTATGGCCTGACACAGCCTTCGTAGGGGGTCAGCGCCTATATTAAGTGTGAAGATTAAATAAAAATAATAATAAATACCGAGATCTGAAAGACAAGATATTTCCCGGTTGGAATTCAATACTAATGCATTTCTCACGGATCAGTTTAGATTATTTACAGATCAATAATTGACATCCTCCCATCAGACAATACACATGCTGAGAAAAAGAAGATGACCAACGGAGCTTTTCCTGCTCGCTTGTCTCTCTTTGGCACCTTTTCTCTTATCTACAGACGAATGTGACACGGCACTTTACATGTACTTTATTCATGATTCATTTGGTGACAAGTTTTCTTTTTCTCTCTTTCAGCTGTCTGGGGAACATATACCAACATGAGGTACAGTAATGAATGTCTAACTACTTCAATGTGAAATATGTACCGACTGCAGGGCAGCTGAAGTCTTGGTTTTAAAACACATTTGATCAGCAGTAGTCATTTTACCTCTTGGAGAAAAAGAAAGGTTTGATAAGATAATGGCAGCAATCTTTTCTAATCCATAGAAATACGATTTCCTTGAAGCACTCTTTTAGCAACACATGACGCACAATTCTAACACATCCGTTTACAATGGGATGACGTATATGTAATATCCTGTATTACTTCTAGCTTTATATTTCTATGTGTATATCTTCATATATTCAGTTAGATGGAGAACATAGGCTAATTGAGCTAATAGTTTATGTCCACTTATGGATCTCGACACGTCCTGTACACATTTAACCATCAACAAACTCTCTAAACACATTCGTTTTCGGCTGAAAAGACCCGACGGTTCGGGACACACCAATCTGAGTAGGGCGTGTCGACGCTCATCGTCGGCCTGACGCCCACCGACGCCGATAATCGGCCTGCTGTGTCCGGGCCTAAAGAGTTATTGATTTATTCAAAATATTCACAAGACACATGTTATTTCCCTCTCAAAAGGAGGGGTATGTTAAAACCAAAGTACTTCATCTGTTGTATTTTTAAATGAATGTAGCGTCAAAAGTTATTATTCTAAAGATATTCGCTCTCTCTTCAGTGTTTTTTTATTTTTTATTTATTTGAATGAATAATGTCCATTTGATTTAATTCAATTTTTAAAATATAATTTGCAAAATGTTTTTTTATTTTTCTAAAAAAAATGTTGATCTTTAATATTGTTTTCAGTTTTTTATGCATACTTCTTGTTAAACATTAAGCTGTCTTTGGCTCTTTTTCTGCTGGAACAAATGTACATTTCCCCTCTGTGGGACGAATAAAGGGATTCTGATTCTGAAGATACACGTAGAGTAGATATTGTGATTAATGTGGGACTGTTAATGTGTGTGTTATGTGTTGCTCAATAACGTCGTACTTCAAGTCAATATCCCTGTTTTCCCTGGCTTTGTGAAGATTGCCTTCTCTTATCCTTTCCTTGTCTTTAACTCTCGCTGATCCTAGATCAATACAAGAGAACGGAGAAATGAAGATTGAGCAGAGGATTGATGAAGTGAGTCTGACACGTCTTTTACAGATTCAATAATATCTACTGAATGTTATCGCACATAGTAACTCTCTTTTTCATGTATGTATTATTCCACATGTACTTGTATAAAACATTGAAGGCATTATTTTGATATGCGTTCATTTGCAACCGCTACATGCTTTAGCCTAACATTGATTTATTAGTTTGACCCTGACCAATACAGTGCAGCCTTAGCTTAGTCATTTACTGTAAGCCTGGGATGTTCGATTTCTTTTTTGAACTGCTAACACAAATCCAATAATACACTTATCACGTGACTGATAGCAAAATGTGTTGTTTTACACACTTTTCCCTTACGTCTGAACATCAAAGTGCCCCAATTTATTAAATGAGAAACTTTAATACATTATAACAGATGTGTTTAATACATGGACAAACTTTAAACAATGGCTACATTATTAGTCCTATGTTTAAAAAACAAAGGGCATATTTTGTATCACCTTTTTAAGTAAAACACCTCGGTTATAAATTGTATTTAAATGATGTGTGACATTTTAATTGCTAACTGGTATGGCCATGAAATGATTTAAAAAAGGTACAAATAAAAGTATATCTTTTGTTGTACATTTAAGCATTCAAGTGCTGCACCATCTGCTGCTAGTCCCCAAATGAGATTTTCTCAGGTGGTTCCTGAGTGTTTCCTGAGTTGTTGATGAGTCTCTCGGTCAACAATCACCAAAACACAAGTGGTACTCGCATCCACTCTGTGTTTAATTTGTGTACTGTGTTCTTCCTTGAGCCACTTTTCCAACGTTTATGAAAATTAGGCCCGTAGTGTTTTCGTTATCCTGCTGACAGACAAACAATCCAAACCAAAACTCTCTAGGTAGAGGTTATAATCATCACCATGTGTGCCATTTATTGTATTTGTGATTCATCTTGAAGGCCCTTCTAATCTACTTATCACGCTGTATTTAACTTCACATAACCTCATTGACTAGTGGATCAACGCAATGTTAACACACACATAAAGTGTTGAAGGCAACTAGACTACTATTCTAATTGGGAAAAATGAATTCACACTGCGTGGTGTATCATGGTTTGGCTGTGCAGATATTTCCCAAGCCAATTGTATTTGTAATCTGTGTTGTGCAATGAGATGTCTATTATGAAACCTGTTAGGTATTGCAACCACTTCAGGAAACAAGCTAAAAGTCGCTGAGAGGCTTAGGATCGAGCCTTGTTGCCTTTTTTCTGACATGCTTTCAAAAATGAATGCTGAGATCCAAATCTTCACTTTCTTAATTCAATGATAATGGGCAACTTGTATAATAACGAGCACATACATATGATTTGAAGAATCCAACTTTCATCAGAGTTGGGGTCACACCCTACACAAACCTACTCATAATTGATCACAAAATAATAATATTATAAACAAAAACCAAAACTAAAGTAGGAACAATCAAAACCCAAATTAACTACACACATCACCGCTTTCTGACTTTCAGGGCTGCTACAAGTATCTTTAATGCAAGTTTCTGAATGGTGCAAATGGAGAAAGTTTTTTCAAGTCTGGCTTTAGTCTAAAGGGCATTTCAAAATTGAGAAAAGATTGAAATTTAGATCATAATTGTGATTTACACATTTTAAGATGTTGTTTTTCGCCCACCCATAGATGAAGATGTCATGAACACAACATTACATGACATGTTTCTTGTTACTCAATACTGTGGACAATCACCACAGGAGCAATTTGGGGTGAAGTGTCTTGCCCAGGGACACAACGACATGCTGACTGCAGTGGGGTTTGAACCCGAAAACAGCAGCGCACTATCCCACTGCGCCACACGCCTCCCACAACCTTACATTAACATGCTGATGTTGTAGTTTGACCTTTAAGACACACCGTAGGATCAACTCAATCTTAACGAAGCATCGGCTCCTGCCTGACCTCATGTTTCTCTCTTCTCCACTCTCTTTAGGCTGTGGCTCCTCTCAGGGAGAAGATTCGTGATCTGGAACAAAGGTGAGTTTCCCTCTTTGATACACACATGTGCAAACACAAACACCTGCTCAAAGGTAATGAGAAAAATATATAAGACTTATGAAGCCTGAAATACTCGCATGTTTTCTATATTGTAGTACCAACTCAAATGGTCGGCCCTAATGACTAGAATTAGGACCCAATGTTATATGCATATTTTAATTATTACTTTAAATTGTTCTCCCCAAAACCATTTAATATTTGTTCAAAGCTAAACTAGACCTCCCAGTGTGACTGCACCATCTGAAGGACATGAAATGAGCCTCTAAACGTCCATTATCAATACGTTACAGCAGTTTACAGAGCATGAAAGATAAGCAAGCTTTGCTGATTTGCAAGGTTTCCTCACCAGGCAATACAAAAATAGATGAGAAAGCAAGATTAGAATTGTGTGACTTCAGGCTAGCAGGCTTTCTATGAATAACACAGACACTGTACTGACTGTTGCATTGCAGCTTCTAATGGTTATTATTTATTTTCCAAGACAGACCAATGGAACAAAACCGACGGCATTATTATACATGGACATAGCTATCGCACAGACAAGACACACAAGGAGGGACGCCGAGGGTTACATTATTTAATGCATGCGTTTATGTTTAACACGTGGTGTTACCATAGGAACCATAGCATCTTATCTTAGCACATGCTTTACTCCAACTCCAATTAGGACATTTTCTTTTATTACAAAGACAAGAGGCATGTTGTTGTAAATTCACAAACTACCTCCTAGGGTCCCATTTCATGTTTCCCACCCCTCTACCCAGATGTGGCAGTAAAGATGCAGCTTCGTATGAGGCTCAGAAAGTCTTCAAGCTATTTATCTAAGTTAAAGTACTTCATAAGAATTATACGTTTTGTTGCAGGGCATGCTAACGCTATATGCTATTGTACAGATGTATATGGACATAGACCTACACCCATATTCATGATCTTTAAGAGTGTATCCCTTAACTACATCCCATGGCAGCATGCTTTTTATTTTAAGTCTTCTTTTAAAGAGGACATATTTTGCTCATTTTCAGGTTCATATCAGTATTTAGTGTCTCTCCTGGGACATGTCTCCTTGCTTTAATGTTCAAAAAGCTCTTTATTTACCTCATACTGTCTGTTCTGCAGCACCTCTTTTCACCCTCCGTCTGAAACCAGAGCCCAGTCTTCTCTGATTGGTTAGCTGGCCGGCTCTGTTGTGATTGGTCAACTGCCTGGAAATGTCACTATAATAATAATACATTTTACATTTATATAGTGCTTTTCCTTGTGCACAAAGCACTTATCAGTAAGTAAACAAAGGAGTACAATGGAGGCATTACAGCCTTTGCAGACCATTTATATGCACTCAAAAACGCATTTAAAACACACTTCAGGAAAGGGAAACCCCCAAATAGCATAATAGGGCCTATTTAAAGTGTGGCGGAGGTGATGAAGGCTGTGTGCAGTATTTCCAACACTATTACCCTCAATCTAACACCTTTGAACAGTGATACTGAGTACTGAATACTCTAGTGGTGGAGTGAGATACTCGCTCCTATCTTTTCTGTGTCTTCAGGCTGTTATTCAGATATTCATCACAACATATATAGGTACCCTTTTATCTATGTGAGAATAGCTTTCAATTGCAAGTAAGAAAGGAAAGAGGATTCTTTCAGAATGAATGTTGTTTTCTTTATCAACAGGTTACCCCCTGCAGATTTTTCCATCCATTTGTGTGGACTTAGAGAAGAAAGGAATACCTCCTCTGTATAATTTAAACCACACTAACAGAAAGTTAGATCGATAGATTATTCTACCTTGAAATGGGTTTGGGACAACAGTGTAATATATGCATATATCTGTTTACGCCTTGAATGCTAATGAGACCAATATAAACAAGCCAATGTCCCGATTTCTACGGTGTGCTGCTTTTTATAAACCTGCAATATGTCACAGCATTATGAAACCCTTTATGTGATCCTCCTGAGAGGACACTGTGGAGAGCTGCAGGTGGGTTACTGAACGTAGATCTGAGATGATTCAATAACGAGCCTCTCGGTATTCTGCTATGCTGCAGCTCCCGGTAATGAACAGATTGTGCTTCCTTAACACATGTTTCACACACTGCTGTTGAGGTATACGTATACTCAGGCTATTTTATTGATTTGAAGGACAAGTAGTAGGCTTAATTCCAATTGAGAGGAACCAGAGAAGAATAGTTTCTCAGAAAAGCATTTCACGTATCTTACATGTTTTCAGAGCGGCAGAAAAATACATAAAAAACCCATTTATTGATTCTTCATTAACTATTTTTTACATTCATTCAATAGATATTGATCTGATTTGTCTCCCTCTCCTTAACCTTCTCTTTCTTTTCTTCTCTCCCTCTAGTTTTTCTCAGAAATACCCACCTGTGAAATTCCTGTCAGAAAAGGATCGGAAGAGAATTCTGGTATGGGATAAACACGATTTCAGACAACCTTTACAATAATCGTTATTATACCGAGGTTTTAACCCTGATTCGAGCCGCTAGCTGCTTAGGGTTTAAACAGAATGAAGTTCTAATCCTATCAGTCTCAAAATTAAATCTAAACGGGGAATTTCTGCTTTAACACACAATGGGTCTTATTGTTGGCCCTGTGGATATTAACGGTTCCAGGAAAATGTATTTCATTTCAATCCTTTATTTATCCGGGTGTGTCCCTTGAGATCATTGATCTCTTTTTCAAGGGAGACCTGCTCAAGTAGGTTCATACAGCATCATTCCAGGGATTACAATTTACAATAACTATCCACATGAACCGGTACCAACAGCATCCGATTGGGTAGCATCCAACCGAGCTTTAAAAACATTTAGTGGCACCAGATTGCTCAGTTTCCATTTTAATTTGCAGACTGTTCCAAGACAGAGGTGCTGCGCATCTAAAAGCTATCTTCCCTAAGACAGTCCTAGCAGTTGGCACATTTAATAAAATAACTATTTAGCACCATGTATCCTGATGACTTTCGCTATCCTCCTGACTTTTCATGAAGCACCGTCAGGAAATTGACATTTTTGGGGTTCAATTGAAAAAATGTTTAATTAGTCAGGTTGGTTTCTGACTTTCTGTCTAACACCAAGAGCAAGTCAAAAATGTTTTTTATTACTTAACAAATAAAAAAAAATGCTCTCCTGATGTTTTAAATGTATTTATTTTTGTTACCAAATGCCCCTTGCATCCAAGGCACAACGTTTAGAATTACTGAACCAACAACACTTTATTTTTATTTTTACGGCAGTTACGGTCAGCATCTGATTGGTCTGCTAGATAAAAACAACATGGGGAAGTGCAAATTAGATGAGAATTGGCTTTTTAACTCATATTTAGCACCATGGCTGCTATCAGTGTTTTAAGTTCTTGTATTCACATCTTGTATAAAGCTGTTCATACTGTGGTTGATTGGTAAAAGTAGTGTACTGTACATTTCCTCTCAATTTTCATTTCAAATAGTGTACATTTAATCAATTAATATATTCTTTTAATTTCTAAGACAAGTCAAAGTGTCTGCTGTGTAAAATGCCCGTTGATTTGGACTTCCTTTAGAGTACATACAAAAGATGAATGAAACACAAATATGTATCTTCCTTTACTGACATGTGTTTTCTTCCTCTAGATCACAGGTGGGGCGGGGTTTGTGGGTTCCCACCTGACGGACAAGCTGATGATGGATGGCCACGAGGTCACGGTGGTGGACAACTTCTTCACGGGAAGGAAGAGGAACGTGGAGCACTGGATCGGCCATGAGAACTTCGAGCTCATCAATCACGACGTGGTGGAGCCGCTCTATATTGAGGGTGAGTTGGAGAATAACTGGGGGAGGGGATACATTGTTTATTAATGCTTTAAGACCTGGTTGTCCAGAAGTAACTAAATGTATTAAAACTATGAGAAGCCGGGAAGCTTTACTACTGATCACAGTACAAGGTATCATATATGTTTCAATATGGAGTATGACCATAGTGTAGTGTTTCAGAAACGATAAAGAAAACCTCAGAAATGTCCTTGAAATGCAGTGAGTGGGTTGGGACTTTGGTTTTCCCTTAGAAATGATTTTTTTATTATTTATGCAGCATATGAAACATTTAGGCCCAGGTTTTTGGGCTGTTATATGTTTCGTACGGTTCAAGGTTCTCCCTGTGTGCCTCCCACTTCAATTCACCTCAGTGGTTTCAGGACGGAAAAGTCTGGAAAAGATGTTTTCCACAAACCACAATGAGCCCCTGGTGCAGGAGACAAATGCTTCAGTATTTCCTTTCAGTGTGTTTGCAGTGTTGGTGTCCTATATCTAAAGTCTTATTTGGTAGCAGTTAGTAGCGTTTAGGCACAGTGGTGTCCGCTGTCACTGCGGGGAGAAAATGCATTTATCTCAGTGTGTTGTTGACAGAGAGTGCTCTAATGACTTCCAGTGAGGCTGTTGGTTCGAACTGCATCTGATTTTAAAGAGGCCCTATTATGCGTGCTGAGGTTTTCCCTTTCCTGTGGTGTTGTATAGGCTTTTCTGCATGTAAATGGTTTGCTAAAAGTAAAGGAAGCCTCCATTAGACTCCTTTGTTTCCTTTGAAACATAATGCATTCACTGTGTAACACTGTACTTGATAGGCTAAGGGGCTGGACATCTCTAAGCAGTTGACCAATCACAACAGAGCCGGCCAGCTAACCAATCAGAGCAGACTCGGTCTGGTTTCAGACAGAGGGTGAAAAGAGGTGCTGAAGAGCTTTTTGAACATTAAAGCATGGAGACACGTCACAGCAAATGCTCAAAATTAAAATATGATCCTGAAAATAGGCATAATGTCCTCTTCAAGTATTTTATTAATGCTTACGACGCCATTCAAATCCTACAAATATAACTTGGCTCAGTCACTAGCAGAAGTGAGACTGAAAGTGGTGGATACTTTGCTGCTTTATCGGCAAACTACTACTACTTAAATGAATCCGTCATTTAAAGGTCTGCTACTACATTTTGTTAGATGACGGCACTTATACCCCATGCGATGCAAAACAACCCTCTTTGTATTGTTGTATACCTGTATAACCTAAAAAGTAAAAAAACCTATAGAAGGAAGTAAGGATACTAAGAAAGTTGGAAATAAAGAGAGTTTTGAAACTGTTTCTCTTCTCAATTTATCTCCAACAGCTTTTGCTCCCCCGATTGTCACCTCACAGTATGATTTCTAGGTGGGGGCTCACAATTGTTGGCCAACAGAATCGATGCCTGTGATGTTTTCGTTTGTCTTTTTGTTTACTTTAGATCAGTGCCAAATGCAACCTGTTGAGCTCTGCTAGGCTCAGAGACGACGGTGGATTTGAGATGGTGGGGGGTGGGCCTTTTGAAATGCTGAAGGAACAATGAAAGAATTTGATAACAGCACTTTTTTTTAGCAATGGCAGGCATGGCAAAGAAAAATAGAAAGCTGAGGGTTGATGGATCACATAACATACTGTTGGAAAAATATCACTCACGGCTTGAGCTTCAATATCAGGATACATGTATTTATTATCAGGGCTGCACATAACTGGTGCCATGGCAACACAATGCTCGCCTTGAAACATGGTTTTCAAAAAACTTCAGTGAAAATACTCCAAACAGCCCAAAACTTCACAAGTTTGGTAACGATGCAGCCGTAAACGCATCTAAGCGTATTATGGGGTGTCGTCAAATGCCGTTGCCATGGCGACAGATCATTCGCCATCAAGTTAGTTCAGAAGTTGGCAGTTCAAATATTCTGCTGCTTTTCCAAGCCTTTTTACTTTCTTTTCTTCTCTCATCACACATTCAAGCCCCCTGTGTTCATGTATAATTTCAATCTAAATTCTTCACTTTCTTCTTACACATTACATTTCAGCATAGCAGTTCAGCGTCAGCTTTTCAGCATAAAGCATTCCCACTAGCAATTTCTTCAGGAATTGCATTCTCTAGTTAAGTAAATGTAAAACCCTTTTCACCCCAGTTACACTTTTCATTTGCCCTGTACGATGGGCGCTGTAAGTGATGAAAATGGGGGATGTTGGCTTACCTGGCGCCCGCAGCTCACGAGGGAGCGAGGGAGAGAGAGAGAGGGCGGGTGGACCGGTACCGGCACTGTTGTTATTAGAATCTGGTGCTAGCTGCTTTAACGGATATAAGAAGAAGATGTTTCGACAATAATGTGGAGGGAGAGTCCTCTCCAGTCAGACTGAGAGGCTGATAAGTTAACTACAGCTCAGCGAGGTAAAGGACTCTTAGTTCAAACGGTTTGGTCACAATTTATGTAAACACATATTTCCGAGGCACTCCTTTATAATTATTGGGATCAACAGGTTTGAAATCATTCCAATGTATACTTTTGGACAGTAACCAAAAATATCCTTTAAAACTGGAGAGATAAAAAAAAATGCATAAATAAATAAATGTTAAGGTAAAATAAGATAAATGAACAACACAAATAAAATAAGTTACATTCATTTGTTATTGGCTGTGGTAGGTTATTATTGTTTATGTTCACATACTTATTTGATTACATCCACTTGTCTAAGATGACAACAGAGACTTTCGACCCAAAACCAGCTGTTGACTTGTGGATGCAAGCAGCTAATCGCAGACTCAACCAGAGAGAAAGAAGCAGGCCTACATCATCAGCTACCATGTCTGACAGAGAGGAAGAACAGTCAGGAGGGTAGTGAGGAGGGTAGTGATTGGTCGTGCTAATGTTGTCTTGTGTTCACCTCTGCATGTGTGTTCTGTGTTCACCTCTGCATGTGTGTTCTGTATTCACCTCTGCATGTGTGTTCTGTGTTCACCTCTGCATGTGTGTTCTGTATTCACCTCTGCA